AAAAGCAAAGGGGCGGTGCGAATATTCAATGAAGCAACTCGGCAATTCACAAAACTGACTCGGGACGACTTGGCTTTGCTGACCCCAAAGGCAAGTATGGTAGTGGAGGTAAGGGGTAAAGAATTCCAAAAAGTAATTGATATCCTTAAAATGCCCAATTTATTTTTTCAATTAAAAAAACATATACTAACTCTGATCTTTAGAATAAGAACTAATTTGACATTTAATTTTATCTCTCAAATTTATAATCTTTTTCATAGTGATACATATCAAGAGAATTTTCTATCATTAGTAAACAAGTCATTTAGATAAACAACATATTCTTCTATAAAAAATTAACTTGTATAATTTTTTATATATTTATAAATTTAATTTGGGTTAATATGATTTTTGATATTTAAAATTTGGATCCATTTTAGTTTTAGTTTTTGAAATTTACTCTATCTTAAAACGTTAGTCCTACAAAATGTCACATTGTTAAAATCTCTCCTGAAGTGTTGTAGACAGTATTAAATTGATGATATAGAATCATTGGATAACATCTAATTGGATCTTATATGGATAATCAAAAAAACAAAACAAAAAAACAAAAAATGTCCTCAAAAAGTAACACAAAGAAGAGAGGAATGAGTTCTCAAAATAGTGAATAATTCTTCAAACGAAAAACAAGGGGGAAAAAGATGCTAAACAACTGTGTTTTGAAAAGATGTTCTTTTTTTTTTTTTTAAATCCTCTGTTATCCCTACATAATTCAAATAGATGTTATCTAGTTAGTCTACGTAACTATTTTAATGTTGTTTACGACAATTTTGCAAATTTTAAACATTATTATATTTTTTCAGACTAACATTTTAAGATGACCAAATTTTAGGGATCAAAATGATACATTTAAAATTTAAGAGATCTAAGCTAAAATAGATCCAAATTTTAGCGGCAAAAAATTATATTAATCCATTTACTTTTTATATCAAAAATTCAAGGGAATGATTTTTATATTAACCCATTTCCCAGGAAATACACAATGAACCAACCCAGCAATTCACATAACTCACCAACGCGAGCCGACTTGGCTTGTTGACCCCAAAAGCAGGAATGATAGAGGTGGTAAGATGCAAGGCGGACCAAGAAGTGACGCCTCAAAAGTTAAAATAGCCAATTTATTCCTTTAATCCAAAAACATACATTAATAACTTGAGATGCTAACTGAGATCAAATTCATACTTTTTCACTTGTACAAAAATTTTAATATCACTAATACCAAGTCAAAAACGTTAAGACCCATATCCTAGTTTTTCTTTAAAAAAAAAAAATTCATGTCATTTTCGTTTTTATTTCATCAACTCTTTTTTACGTTTCCGGCTAACAAATCATCTTCTGCTTACATTTTTAGAAAAAAATTTTATTCACCTATAGAAAACCCATCCTTTTCGATTTTAAATTATGCTATCTTCTCCTTGGTCTTTCAATGCATTTTCCAATCTATAGAGGGTACTGGAATTAACAGAGAAAGCTTGAAGAACAAAATAAAAAAAATTTCAAACAAAAACTTTTTCCACTTTTTTTAAGAAAAACACAGATCCCTAATAAAAACAGGAAAAACATAAAAGTCGGCAAAGTGGTTTTTATTTTTAATCTTCCGTGAAAGACAAAACATATATATGTGAATTGCCTTCTCAATATTACGTTTTTTTAATATAAAAAATAAATCTCACCAGTGTCATTCCTCCTAGTCAATAGCCTATTAAAGTCATAGCCCCATTTTGACCCCAAAAAGAAAAAGGAGGGAGAAAAAGCCATAGCCCCATGTGCACGTCTGCCCCTTTTATTTTTTTATTTTTTAAAAATCATTTTATAGATAGCTATATTCTTTTTATTTGTTGTCTATACATTTTTTTTTGGGATTTATTGAATTAACTTTGCTTTAGTAAAGTAAGGCAATACGGGCTAGTGATGAACAAAGCAAAGTTAATGAATTTAATAAAGGAAGAAAAAATGTAAAAATCACAATTTAAAAATTGAAAAAAATGGATATATGTAAAATGATTTTCCTTGTTTTTGGGGCTGATCTTTTCTTTTGATATCTTGATTGGGTGTCAAAATTTGTTAGCCATGCATAAACATTAAATAATTAAACAAAATAATGATGTGAGACATAACTCGATCACGTAACCATATGAAAATTCTAGTAAATTTAGTAAGTAGAAAAATGGTTAAAATAATTTTTAATCGTTTACATAAATTTTGATTTTAATTTTTTTAACTTTAAATCATGAGTTTTGATTTTTTTTAAGTGATAAAATAATTTGATTCTTTATTATATTATAAGAGTTAATATTTAAAATAGAAAAAAATTTGAGGACTTTATTTTAAATTTAAAGGATCAAAATAAAAATAAATTTAAAGAACAAACATTATATTAAAAAAAACAGGAAAATTGCGAGGAACATGCAAGCAGAAACTTTTTGTAAAGCTGTTCAAGTCGTATGATGAATCACCGAAGCAACACAGCAACACCATCAACACGCGAACTTCCCAGAAACTGGAATGCCAACCTCTGAAACTCGCAGATAGATACATGTGAGTGAGGCATTTTGTGATCGCTGAATCTGAAGAGCTTGTTTTAAAAGAAAGCAAGTTTGCCAGTTCTGAAGCTGCAATTTTTGAGGCATTGGTTTGTGAGAGCTCTTTCTTTCGCTTCCCTCCACATCTATCCAGGTTCATTTCTTCTCTTTTACTTCCTTTATCCCATGGATCCATCGCTCTATCTATTGTTCTGCAAGCTTTTGTCCCGGAATTTTCACAGAAAAATTCTGCATTAGATTTGCTGTTTTCTTCTCCTTATGGCAACTGTTGATTATATTCAATGTCCTCCATAACTACCCTACAGTCGTAGATCTAATAAAACTCCAACATTTTGAAATTTTTTATACTTCCGAGAATCAAAGTCCCAAAACCTTCTGAGATATGGGTGGACTTGATCTATTGACCAAACTCTTGGTTTATTTTATTCATTTTTTTAACAACGTAAACGGTTGATTTATTTATTATACTACTTCTAAGTTATTGATTAAGATTAAAAAGTTTACTAAAGTATTTATATTTATCGTTTATCTTCTAATTAATTTGTTTTACTGAGTAATTTTCTGGATTTTCTAAGATTTGTCAGCTAGGACTTATAAATAAGTATTATAAAAGCAAAGCGCTTGTTCTTTCTTTCATCTTAATCACTTCCCATTTCGTTGTTATGCGTAAATAAGGCACCGATCTAAACCAACAGGCAACAGGGCTTATTTTCTTTTTTTCATAATCCACTTGCTTCTAGCAGTATTTTCCCTAGTATCTGTGTTAGTCCTAGAAAACTTCATAATACTGAATTATTAATTATTTGTTAAATTTGTTTGAAGAACTTGACTGAAGAGGAGGAAGTCTGCAAAGCTCGAAGTTGACATTTTTGGGGCCTTGTCAGCTAAGCTGCCATCTGCCAGGTTAATACTATCCATTAGTTCTTTTCCTTTTCTCTTCCACTTGCTTCATCCCGTTAAAATGTGCTGTTTTGCAAGCACTTCCTGAAAAGTTTCAGGGTTTTCTTCTCACAGGACACATTTTATGCAAAATATTTTGTTAATTTCTTCTTTCCTCTAGTGTTGATAATCTCGTCCCTAGCTACCTTGCTTGCTGAAGGATGAAGATAGAAACGGCTATAACAACCATTGCTCCAATGCTCCAAAAAGTTTTATTGATCGTATTGGGAGTATTAATTTCCAAAGCTATCAGACTCATCTCTCATTGGCGCAATGGTAACCAACCTGCTGCTATTGATGCTAGGTAGCTACCTTCTTCTAAATAACCACACACTCTTTATTTTATTGTTTGATGTGCTCCTACACATAACGCAATATTTGTTCATTGGCTGCTTCTTTCTGTAGTTCTGAAGATGATGTTATTTTGACTCAAAGGAATTCTCCTCCTGCTACCGAGTATCATGTGTTCCTTAGCTTTAGAGGAGAAGACACTCGCCACAATTTTGCAAGTTATCTTTACAAAGGACTTTGAAATGCAGGCATTCACATCTTTATGGATCACGAACTCCGCAAAGGAGAATCGATCTCGCCAGATCTTCTAAGAGCAATAGAGAAATCAGAAATATCTGTGATTATTTTCTCTGAGCAATATGCTTCTTCAACTTGGTGTTTGGATGAGCTTGTTCACATATTAGAATGCAAGTGTAAATTTGGAAGGGTTGTGATACCTGTTTTCTATAACGTACATCCTTCAAGCATACGCAAACAAAATGGGAATTTTGGAAAAGGATTTGATGTATTGAAGCGAAGATTTAAAGACAACCAACAAAAATTGCAAAAGTGGAGAAATGCTTTAATCGAGTCAACAAGTCTCAATGGATGGGATTCCAATGTTATCAGGTAGCTTCAAAAATTCTCCTTTTATTGTTGGTTTTGGGGATTTATTCAATGAATCTCTAGGATTCTAACAAATTATTGTGGTTGTTTATTCTTTTTATTTTCTCCCTGTTAAATATTTCTTTTCTTTTGATTGACATTTATGCTAGACCTGAATTCAAATTTGTTGAAGAGATTGTCAAGGACATTTCGAGCAAATTGAATCGCAAGTCATCCTTTCATTCGGAAAGATTAGTTGGGATTGATCATCAAATACAGAAAATTAAAGAGCTGCTAAGTGAAGCTCGTATTGTGGGAATATGGGGTATGGGTGGTATAGGCAAGACCACTCTTGCTAGGGCCGTATTTGACAAATTGAAACCAGACTTTGAAGCTCTCTGCTTTGTTAAACATGTGAGACAACAGCTGGCGGAAAGGAACGGATTGGATGAATTGCAAGAAAAATGCCTTAAAGACTTATTAAAAGATGAGGATATTAATGCCTAAGATTTAAGATCCGGTTTTGTGACAAAAAGGCTTCAGTGTAAGAAAATTCTTCTCATACTTGATGATGTGGACGATTCTATAGCAATTGAAGATTTAATGACGGCATGTGATTGGTTTGGGAAAGGAAGTAGAGTTATCATCACATCAAGAGACAGGCAGGTGCTTAAAAATACTTCTGCTTCTGCAACTCCAGCAACATATCATGTTCCGAAACTGGATCCGCATCATGCCCTTCATCTCTTTAGCTTGAATGCTTTCAAGCAACATGAACCATTGAAAAGCTATTTGGAGTTATCGAAGTGGGTAGTGGATTATTGTCAAGGAAATCCATTAGCTCTAAAAGTACTGGGTCGCTTTCTTTATGGCAAAAGAAAAGAAGAGTGGGAAAGTGCTCTGGCAAAACTAAATCAAACTCCTTGCAAGGAAATTTTTAATGTGCTAAAATTGAGTTTTGATGGACTTGATGACTCACAGAAGAAAGTATTTCTTGATCTTGCATTTTTGTTGAAGGTAGGACGGAGGATTTCTCGGCACGATACAAGATGCTTATATGGTGCTATAGAAAAAATTGAGATAAGTGTACTTGAAGATAGATCCCTCATCTCAGTGGATGACTATGATGGTATTGAGATGCATGCTCTACTAATCGATATGGGTCTTAAACAATCTAATTCTGATAATCGCATTCGGTTGTGGAGGCATGAGGATATTTATCATTATTTTTCCGACAATGACAAGGTAATAATTTTTTTAAAAGATTTTATTATATTTTTTGTTCTCTTAATTGTTCATTTCATTGTCATTTACTTTTCTAAAAGTTATTTGTTTATTCATTAAAATCTTCAGTTAGTCTCAATGTTTGCGGAATCCAATTTTTTTCCCCAATAAAAGAAGTCCTTTGTTTGACTAAAATTGGCTGCGGTCGTAGTCTTTCTATTAGGTGTGATTCATTATATTAATCTTCTTAAAACTTTTGAAATATTTGTTTTCCTAAAGTTCTGAGATAGAATATGACTAGCATGATATAAGGCTTTTTTTTTTTAAAAAAAAAAAAGATCATGAGATCTTCAATAAATTATAAAATTATCCCCAAAGGTTGACCTTTTTTCATATTAATTGATATCTGATGTAGTATAAAAGTGATTGTGTGTATTCTCACACACTGCACATGCATATTCTCACCCTCACGCGTTTTCTTATAAAAATTTAATATTGCAAAAAAGTACTTATTATGAAATCTGAACAGAAAAAGAAATTTTTAGAAATTTTATAGATGCCGGGGTTTTTATATATACTAGTTTTTCTTTAATACAAAGGGTTAATGTAATATTTTTCCCTTAAATTTACATGAATTTTGATTTTAATATCTTTAGTTTCATACCATGGGTTGAATAAAATGGTCTAGGTTTTTATTAAATTATTAGAAGAATTAATATCCTTTTAGGTAAAGAATAACCAATATTTTACATGAAAAGAAATTTGAGAAATCAAAATCTATAATTTAAAACTTGAGGGATAAAAAATTAGATTAACCTTTTATATGAAATATAAGCGTGCGCATGTAAGCCTGTTCGTATCATTGTCCCCGTCATCCTGCGTGTGTATCTGTTGTTGTTCGATTTATTTATTGCAAGATGAAATGAATTGTTTGAATAAAGTGCGCAAAAGCATATTCATTTAGAAATTCCTAAAAAAAAATATTTAATCGTTCTATTTATTATTTGATGACCTTTTACATATTACTGATTTTTTCCCACAATTTGATCAGTAGGCGGCTGGGGCAATTCAATGCTCATCATTAGACATGAAGACGATAAACAGGATTGCAATAACAACTAGTAATGTTCAAAAGAATTATAATTTAAAATTAGCTAGGACTTTCGTGATGTGTTATTTTAAAAGATAAATTAATGTACAAAGAATTTTCATTGAGTGATATATGCATACGCATGTGTGAGCATAACTTACTATTAGTTGAAGTACAACGGGAAAATAAAAAACAAATAATTTTTTGTTGTTTTAGTTATATTCTAAATATCTGCACATGCTATATGCATTACTATGTCTCTGTATTTATTATTGTTGAGAAATTCATATATTACGGGAAAAACATGAATTGTAAGGAATTTTGAATGAAATGGATATAGCGGTGTTAATTTGGATAAAAGTTGATATATTTAATTGTTCTATGGTATTTATGGTCATTTTTTCAGGTAACGATAATTGTGTTTCCCTTGATTTGATATTATTACCAGGGGATTGGGGCAATTCGATGCATGTCATTGGATGCAAGCAAGATAAAAGCATCGCATTGAGGGCTAGTCATTTTCAAAGGATGTATGATTTAATATTCCTTAATGTTTACAAGTCTGATCAAAGAAAGCCTTCAAAGTTGAATATTTGTGAAGAGTTGGTTTATCTTTCAGAAGAATTAAGGTTTCTTCTTGTTGGGAAGAATATCCAATGCCATCTGTGCCATTACAATTTTGTGCTGAGAATCTCATTAACTTGATTTTCCTGGGAGTAATATCCAACAGCTTTGTGATGGCAATCAGGTACATACGCTTTGTTTTTTTCAAATGTATGTCATAATGTTTTTGTTGGTGTATGTGATTGTAAGACGTGGCATCAAACATTTACCAAAATAATTGACAATGCAAACATTTAATTGTTTTTGTGCTGAGGATCTTATTGAACTTATTTGCCAAAGAGTAATATCCCAGCTTTGGGATGGAGATCAAGCACATATAGTTTCTCATATGTCATAATTGTTTGTTCTTGTGATTATAAGAAACATTGACTAAAATAATTCACAATGCAAATGTTTACTCTATTACTTTCTTTCAATTGATGGTTGAGTAGTAATTGTACAATTTGGGAGGAGTCCAGCTGTTGTTGTAATGGGCATAAGAAAAATTCTTGATTAAATTGTACGTATGTGGAGTTATCTAATTTATTTAACACTACTGCTTTGTTTTTTTTCCAGCAATTTCCAAATCTAAAGGAATACATCTAAATGATTCAAAAAATCTCATGGCACTTCCAGATTTGTCTCAGTCCCGGAGATTGGGCAATGGTTCTTAATGTTGTGTGAATTTACATCAAATCCATTCTTCAACTGTCCCGAAAATCTTTCCATTTATTCGTAGAAGATTGTGGGGCCAATGAAGATAAATGTTGGGGGCAGTATGAAAGGAGAAGTTCATCAGGGTTAGTGATTGTGTACAATTATTTTGGATGTCCCCAATTTGACATTCATAAAGTGACAATAAAGGTGTTGGTATGTGGCAAGATGATGTGTGGTGTTGGATTTAAGCATGTGAGA